CCACCTCTCTATGGCCGGCACGCTTCCCGAAGGCAATTAAATACCCCCGGCCTTCTCCACTTGTTTTCTGGCTTGCAGCGCCAAGCTGAACTGCAATGCGGTCCATGAACGTCACGATAAAGCGTTCTGCATCCACAGCCGTTGCTTTCTTGGCAGGGTCCTCAAGACCAACATCAACGTGATGCTCTTCGACACCACGACCCTGACGCGGGTACTGCGAACAAAGTTCCTGGTACTCAAAGATCCTCTGATGCAAGAGAGGCTCAGATAAAGAATTGAGATACCCCGACCCTCCAAGACCTCTGGGAATCGGAGCGCACAAATTCCCACCTCTTTTCTGCACAATGTTCACTTGGGCTTTCCACATGCACTTGGTGTCTTCCATCGCCGGATGCCAACATGCGAGTTCGCAATCAGAGATGACCTTGAGGATGCGCTGCATTTCTGCCTCACTGATCCATCCTTCCTTATAAGACAAGTATGCCCCAAAGCCCATGCAAGTGCCAACAGCATGTCCATGTAGCATCCCCGACGGCAGCTCATAACCAGGGCTCCATGTATGGCCATAGGCATGAGGTCGACACTGATGAGTTTCCCACAGGTTTCCATACTCTGCGCGCACATATCCCTCCATTGCTTTCCCGATAATGAGGTCACACACCTCCTGGAAAGTTGCATCATCACTCTCGCTTAAACTGCCAAAGTTAGTTGCTACAAGTTTTGGACCCCACTTCTCCATCAATTCGAAAAGTCGCAAATCTGTCATCACTGCCATCTTAATGATCTCAGCGACGCCATGTCGCAACTGACCTGGGTGCATTGTCTTCCAGAAACCACGATCCGTGATGGTCAGAATGGGCGGGTGATAAGCACCGTAGAGGTTCTTGTAGCTAAACCCATTGCAGCACACTCGAGGTGAAGGGCCGGCATCAATGCCAGCAACCAGCGATGTGCAGAGCATAACGTACCTTAGGCGTCTAAAAATTAAAAACCCTGCAGGCTTCTTGTCAATGATTGGTTGCCTTTAAATATTTTAATTGAGACTCAGGTACGGCGTGTTCCTGGAATAGAGAGCGCATGCCATGCCAGCAATGTCCGCAATGACACCACCACCGACAATCAAGACAGGTTCATGACGGGCCCGGTTGTGCTTCTTCAGAGCCAGGAGAATAAGTTCCACATCACTGAGGTTCTTGTCCACTTCATTGCCGCTGAAGACAAGTTTCACGAACTCGATGCCATGTGCGTGGAAGTACCCCTCCAAGTCAGTGCCATAGTGATCGTCAACCTTGTCGTCAACCACTGCCACGCAGCGGCCTAATGGCTTGTAGACATCATACAGCAGTCTGTTGGAAGGTTGAAGGACATCACGAGCAATTTTGATAGTCGTAGTGATAGTGGTGCTCATCACTGACTCGATTGTCAAGGCATCCTGTGCCGCCAAGGTCAAACCATCACTTTGTCGATAAATTGATGTGGGGAAGCTTCCATGTGGTTCCACAACCTCCACGTAGTGAGCGTTCTGGTCATAGACGGCGCGCACCGGTTCAGGCATGCCCTTCAAGTCCTATTGATGAGGCGCGTGTGGCATACAGTGCTATGCTAGCTCGTGTCGTGCTGAGTCGTGCCATGCTATATTAGACTAGACGTGGTGTGGGAGGCGCGCACGTTATCCCATGCGGGTGCCATGTGGTGTGACGCGGGGCATGCTATGCTCTGCTATGTTTTGTGATGTTGCACATGTTACATGAGGTATGCCACGTATCCGGTGTTATGCAGGCATGTCTCAAACTGGGAGCCCTCACCATCCCCAAAATGTCGGTTTTCAAAGGGAAACGAATGGGTGGCTGGAATACTGAAGCCACACTGTTTTTGGCATACGTCGGACACGCGGGGTTTTTGCCCGGGGCCGCGCCGAAAAGCTAGACTCAAGCAAACCAAAGCACGTCAAATTTGCAGCCACACGTGCGGATGCACAACCAGGAAAACAGGGACAGATCCAAGCAACACGAGCAGCACAGGCAGCTAATGGCACAAACCACGCGCCAAGCAGCAATGACACCAAAGCCATACGTCAAAGGCGTTGTGCCAAGTATCGTATGTGAAGTACGTCCGCTACGCTGTTGTATGGTATGTGATCTTGTGTGTGTGTGAAGAATGTATGCTGCGCTATATTCGGCGTGATCTTCACCATGGAAAAGATGCCGTTCTCATTGGCTTCCATTTGTGGAAAACAAACAATTCTTGACTATGTAACCGCAAGGGCAGCAAGGGTCTTTGATAGCCACCACACAATCTTGCTCTTGTGCCAGGTCGTGTTGCAAACTTTGGAACGGGGCAGCATGCTCTGGCATCAGTTGCTCTGCCAACCGCTCAAGCAAGATGGCCACGTGACTCTGCGGGAGGTTCCAGAAGTATTTCAACTGCTTCAACACCGAGAGCAATGGGAGGCAGGCCTGCAATCCAAAAAAAAACGAAGGATCTCTAGCCACATGTGAACATGGTCTTTTGATTTCTGAGCCGGTAATGCAGCAAACATCAACAAACCAACTCAAAAAATTGCGCCACACAGTCCTTGAACGCAAGTCCGAACTCATGCGAAAATACAGCTAGCCTTGACACGGCCTGGAGCAACTCCAGCACCTGCAGAGTAGAAAGCAGAACTAGCATTCTCTGCTGCGGATCTTCTGCAGCAACTTCTTCGAGACTGCGTGCCCCTGCTTCAACCATTGCTCGAGCCTTGGCACGAATCTGGGCCGCTTGGATTACATCCAACTTGTAGTAGTTGATCTCAGTGGCTCCATCAGTGTCAGCCCCAGCTTTCTCAAGTACTTTCACAGAAACCTTTCTCACCGAAGAGCAACGCTTTCGGTGAGCTGATGCAACAGCAACGCTAAGTAAGCAACTCAGCAAAGTTCCGAAAGATCTCGCAAACGAGTTGCCACTATGGTGCGGTGTGCGCATGTGGTTCAGACTTGGAAGTGTTGCCTGAGTCGTCTGGTCCATGTACGGACTTCGCTGGCTGCCAAAGGGCAAAGCAAATGCTGTCATGGCTTTCTCTGAAGTCAGGGAAGGGCGACGTAAAACTGAAAAAGCATGACTGCAAACGAGAGAAGTTGCTGGGGTTGTCCCCTCTCTTGGAAACAAATTTCAATTCTGCACCTCACTACAACACTCCGTGATTGATCACAAGGATCACCATGTTAATTGGATCGACAAACAAGGCACACTGATCTGTCATGTCATGTTAAGAGACCTGACATCGCAAACCAATCCCAAGCTCAGCCTTCAAAGGGCAGCTTCCACGTAGCTCATAGAGTCATAGAGGATTACCCCTGTGCCGTGGCCAAACTGTCAGGCCAAGGGTTAGTTCGCCAGGTGACAAACCCTATTCTTTCCAGGCGAAAAGGTCGGATGTTGAGCTGAGCCAACTGTCAACCACCACTTATTTGTGCTGCTTTCGCTAGCCTACGCAGCGAAGGACTTGCAACAGTCCCGATGGTTCTAATCTACGGGATTTTGCTCCCGTTCTGTTGCTTTGTTCCCTACACTATAAGGTCGGTGTGATCACAACCAATGTACAATCCCTTTGTAAAGCTCCACGATGATCCACGACCCTCCTTCGATGTTCCACGTTACCGTTTCTCTTCGCTTCTCTTTACTTCTTTGAGTCGTTTGAATCAAGTCACAGCTTCTCCTGACAGACCTCCAGACCAATTCCACTTCCAATGGCCTCCAAGTCTCAGGTGTGAGTGTGACTGACCCTAAACTTCTCAGCGACAACGATTGACTTATAAAAGCGATTGAACGTAGTCTATACAGCAGATTGTTTGAAAAGCGCAAGCCAACATCCAGTAGGTCAACAGTGATCAATTGATCAACTGGCGCCGAAGTGAACCCTGCCTCCTGTCTTTGACCTCGCAAGCGCAATCTGAAAAAGCTGAAAGGTTATAGATTATGACACATCTGAAGTGGGTAAGGGCAATCTGTTGCCCGAAGTGTAACATAATCGCCTGAAAGGTCGTTATTCCCGCCCAAATAGTGTAATATAGACAGGGTTGCTTGCAACACTCCAGGACAGGGGGGGTAGATTGGGTAAATTTCCTACCGTTTGTGGCTATCATTCATTTACCTATAATGGGCTGGAGGGACCCTGATAGATGTGACATGACGTGACCAACAAAATCATTTACCCGTGGAGCTGAGAATCATCTGCTGGATGAGCAAAGTAGCAAAGATTGAAAACCACCAGCCAGCAACAAACATGTCCAAAACCATCAAAAACCTGTATCCTTTGTAGGCCTCAACTTAAAAATGTCCAGCTGCGCTTTGGCAAAATATAGATAAGAAAAACTGTAGTGAACCAATGATGAACAACGCAATCCTGCAGTTCACTAACAGTTCACTAACCATCGCGGTTCACCATCACCCAGACCCGATGTTTGTCATCGATTGGCACCTCGAAAGTTCAGCGAGGTGCCCGCTCAATGGTTGCATTCAGCAGACGCGGATGGATCCCTTCAGATCTTCCACCATGTTGTGAAGCCTCACCACCCAAGGACCCAGGGCTTGAAGGGCCTGAGGCTTCAGCTTTGAACACTTTTCCAGCCTCCGGTATATTGGGTGCACTGAAACTGCCGCAGAAAGTATTATGAAAGCTGACCGCATTTTAGTTGGACTCTCTTTTTTCATCATTTTCCCAAGTCTAGTTGGATAAATCCACCATCTTCGGAAGGCATCCGCTTCGGTAGTGCCATGGAGGGCACTGAGGATGTCTCCAAGAACAGAAGAAACAAATGGCATCTGGTGGATTACCTGGCCAGAGCTACCACCCCTGCCTTTGCCGCCAGAAGTGTGTTGCTGAGTTTGTCTTTTGCTGTCTCCACGCTCTCTATACCTGCCACGTGGACATGCCTTCTGGGGTACTATCCTGATCAAACCGAATGGGTGGTTGTAGGTGGTCATTTTTTCGGACCTTTTGCCAATAGGCAATCCAAAATTCTTGGCCGGCAATTTTCAGCCAATCGAACGTCGCTACCTCTACACGTCCGTATTTGTTCTTCTGATATCTCGTCGTATTTACGGCCGATTTGGTACTAAACCATCCCAGCAACAGGACGATGACCAACTAAGGCACAACTCTGAAACATTTAGCGGAACATTACATTTATATTGCCTGAAACCTGAAAACACTATCATATCTATCATATAGCGATATACAGTGTCATAGCATATCAAAAAATACCATATGATACAATTCAATACCAGAAACTATCTAAACCATATTTTAAACATATCCACAAAATATCCAAAACATATCTAAATCATACCTAGGACCTAGATCATATCTAAATTATATGCAAAATACATTCAAAATACACAGCATGTTGAAAGAAAAAAAATATTTCCACCATTTACACAAAACACGCGCTAAGGTCAAAACATATCTAAAACATTCTAAAACACATTCAAAATACACTTTTTTTCACTTTCGAGCTGCTGTGCACGTCTGCACTTGGCGTCTTGCAAAATCGCTGGAAATGCGATGTGAAACCCCTTTGCTCACCTCTGTACAGCAGCACCATGAAAGTCCGGTTGGACTCGATCGGTGCCCACAAAATTCGAGCAAGCAAAGGGCAAAAGGTCCTCAGGGACGCGGTAATTGAGCCCCTGAGGATAAATTTTGCACTTGGCCGTGCGAAATGCGCCATCCTCTTGATGCCCTTGAGCTGCTGGTGAGCTCCGCGGCCATGTGAACACCTACCAGCGTGACCACGGCGCTGCAGGAGGCTTCGCAGCGTAGGGAGCCGCAAATGCAGGATCTTGGTCGGCTTGACCGCTTCCGCGCCGAGCTCACATTGGTCGAACGACGATGTGATGCCCACGCACCTTAGCAACCGTAGTGCTCGGACAGCATGAAGTGACCAGATGCTTGCGGGCTCTCGCGAAAGCAACCACACGGGATAGCGCGTGCTCACAAAATCCACTGGCGAGTAGCAGCAGCATGTCAAAAATGAACTGGAGCAAGCGGGTGCCGACCAGCACGTGCGTCCATTCTCCAAGTCGTAGGTCTGGTCGCCCCCAAGGAAAGAGGATGCGCTCCGCAGCGGCCTCGGCCCATCATCCTGAAACCTTGCTGCTGAAAAGGTCTCACAGGGGGGGCCTCCACCGGCCCCGATCACCTGACCGGAACCAATGCGCTTCTCCCAAAAGGCATGCGCAGCGGGGGCGATGAGATTGCCCTGCTCATGCTGGATACACATGTCGACGGAGACGACGAAGACTTCAACGCCAGGGGAGACTTGACGATGTTCGAGGAGGGCATGCAGGTCACCGTGCCTGGGGTACCCCGAAAAGAAGTGCACGAAGACGAGGGACTTAACGTTCAGGATGGCATACTCCTTCGCGAGGCTCCTCATCATCCAAAACCTTGAGCCTCTCCGCCGAAACTGGGGGAAAGCACGCCCGCAAGGTGGCCAAACAGTGCGAGGCATCCCGCAAGTGCTCAATAAGCCGGCTCCTTTTTTTTGATAGAGCCGGCAGCACCCATGGCATTCGTGGCCGACTGCAAAGAGTCCCAGTAGCCGCACTAGCCGTCGATACCCATGGACTCTGGCAGAGTGAGTTGCCAGGGCTCGCTTGGAAGCAAACGATTTCTCGCACTGGTCACACGTCCATTTTGTCTCACAAACTGGTGGCAGATCAGAAAGCACACCTCCAGCTTCCTGATAGATAGCATCAAACCTCTTCTGCCATACCTGCGCTTCAGCAGTGGCCTGTCTAAAGGAGGCACAGCCTTTTTCCAGCTGTCTTCACTCTACCATTCCAACTCGTGTCCAGTTGAATGAGCGAAATCCATGCATGGATGTCCTTGGCCTCGGGAACCTCGAAGTGGTCCGAGTAGAACTGCTTGAACCATGCGAAAGAACCTTCACAAGCGGTGATCCAGGAATCATCGGCACCTGACACCTGCAATCACCATGAGCAATTGCCACAAAACCATCGGGCACACCGCAAAGAGCCGCTTGAGATAGCGCAACCTTGCCATATGTAGCAAGTCCTCCGGCGGAAGGATACGCAGAATGCCACAAAGGACAGGCGCGTCTAAGAGCAACGGCGAAACGCCAGAAGTGTGCCCCTTAGCGAGCAGACCCAAGGGCTTGCGGATAGCATTTTGCCACTTCTGTATCTGAGCTGGTGGGCAAGGCGACCAAATATGGGCATTCAGTACAACAGAGAATAGTCCTTTCCTAGGTTCGGGCTCAACGGGCCCGACGGGCCCAACGGGCCCAACGGGCCCAACGGGCTCCAACGGGCCCCAACGGGCCTGCTTCACGGGCTCAACGGGCCCGACGGGCCCAACGGGCTCGAGGGGCTCGAGAGACCGTGGCGCTGAATGAACCCATCATCCCTTCTGGTGCTGGCGTTACACTTTACATTCAATTGGGAAGATCAACAACGGTACTGGGAATATAGATTCCCACCCCCGGCTAACTTAATATTCAAAGGGGAAAATCAACAAAGGCATTAGGAATTTAGAATCACACCTCTGTTCAACTTTACATTCAAGCAGGCAAATCAACAAGGGTAATTATTTGGCATATAAGTTCCCCGCCTGTGAATTTTACATTCAATTGGGAAGATCACCGATAGGTATTTAGAATAAAAGCTCCCTTAGAAACATAATTGCCCACCCTGCTTGAACTTTTAGATTCAAGTGGGAAGATCACAACAGGTATTAGGAATATAAAAAATCCCACTCTCGTTTGCTTTTGCTTTCGACTGGAAAGATCAACAAGGGATGATGATGATGATGATGATGATGACGACGGTTCGTTGCCCATCGTTGTTGCCCTGCCAGGCAAAACCCAGGCATTAGCCGTATTTCAACATATGTGTATATACATATATGTATGCACCTTGTATCTTTCTAATGCGTATACACACATAAATATTTATTTATTGAGTGATTGTTCTTTATGTATATCTTATACCTAATTACATCTGGTTGTAGATGAAAAAATGTATGATTCCAGCACGCCATTGGGATCATGTTTCCAATTTTCGTCGCTTTCCTGCTTCAGTCATCCATGGCTAATGCACATGCTTTCTGTTCTTCATTTGGTTACTGATATTATTCCACCAGATGTTGATTAGTTCGGCACCAGCTGTTGACTACCAACCGGTGAAACAAAATCCTTCGGATCCACTCGGGGTATGATTTGTCAAGCGGTGCCGTTTGCAGATTCTGTGATTCTTTCCTAGACAGCGGCCACAAAAAAAAATCCCGTGCTTCGCTTCATCCTTTTGTGACCATGATGAGAGGTGATGGTGCCTTTGGAAATTACATGATGATTTTTCCTTGTATCACGCAGGGATAAAGAATGTGGTTGCTAACATATCTGATTGGCACCCCTTCAAAAACCAAAAAAACAAATATGCATATCTGCGTCTATCTGCTTGACATGTCCGACCCAAATACAACGGCGGCCGCCCACCCGACTTGTCAAACGCTGCACGGCTCTCTACCTTTTCAAACATAAAATAGAGACAATCATCCCCGGCAAAAAGGCCCTAACAGCGTTGAGGAAAACATCTGTGAAAAAAACTCCAGGACCTCAAGCCAGGACCTCAATGAGAATTTCACACAGTCGTCAAAGAAGGACCTGATAGAGGGGATCTGACAAGATCTTTGTACAAGAACCTCTTGAAGGCTTCCCTTGCAAACTTTCATACAAGCACCTTCTAGATCTTCGCGCAAATATCTTTTAGAGGATTCCAGCAGGATGTGCGCAAGATCTCCTCACAAACACCTCTACAACAAAGGATTTCACTAGGATATCCACAAGATCTCCTCGCAAGGACTTCTAGAAAATCAGGAATCTTCGAGGATCTCGACAGGATCCCTACAAGATCCCCTTCCAAGAACCTCATGCTGCCCCAACGGGTCCGACGGGCCTGACGGGCCCGACGGGCCTGACGGGCCCAACGGGCCCAACGGGCCCAACCCAGCAGAAGACCATGGCCGTACAACAAGCGCGACAAAGTCAACGTCCGGAACACTGCCATCTTGGTACGAATGGAGACATCGCTCTTGCTGTAGAAAGGCCCCCAGCTCTGGCGAGCTACCGTTCCACGGTGGCCGACTTCTTTGCTGGCTGCTGCACCCTGCTGAACCAAGTGCCCAAATGCTTGTAGCAATGAACCACACGCAGAGCATATGTATGGCCATCCATTGTCCAAGACAGCATTGTGCTGATCATGAAGGGCAGCTTTGCGGGCTTTCGAGCCGGGACCAATGATGTGCAAGGTAACTTCCGTCTTGCCGGGGGCGTAGTTCAAAAGCAATCCTCTTCAACGAGATGCCACCGCCATAGAATGCACAGAGCATTGTACCATGTGCATCACCTGGTCATTGTCGGGGGCATGAGTTGCCACTGCGCAATCATCGACGAATGCCAAGTCGAGGAACGCAACGCGCGGGAGCTCCTCAAAGGCAGGGAAATCCGCACATGGGGTGGGACCACCAATCCACTCCGCATTGGTCATCTGCAGCATAGACCCACGGGCATCACGCATAATCAAAGCCATCACCATGTTATAGAGCAAGTCACCAAGTGGATCACCCGGTCGGGTGCCTCGCGTTGTGCGGCACGGGGCATCCAAGCCACTGATAAAGAAATGGGTGTTGGTGAGGGCATCCTTGAGCAGGCACCGAAAGTGATCTGAAATGCCTGCTCTGGCATCATCCTGCTTGGTAGCTTGAAGCATGAGATCCGACGCTTTGACCTTGAAGCGCGCCAGGGCTGCAATCAGCGACAATCGAGGCTCATTCTTCAGGAAACAGCGATTGTCGGAGAACGCTGTAAAAGGCTGACTTGATGTCAAAGAACAATGTGGGCACTGGGAGATTTGCGCACCGACGCCCAGTGACTATGCGCTTGCACCAAGTGATGTGCGAGATCAACTCCCATTCGGCGCCTGCCTCCTAATTGAAGGGAGGAAATGCCTCTCCCAAACCTCAACGAGGTAGTCCCGCATGGTCATGTGGAAGAGCTTCGCAGTGAAGTCACTGATGAAGATGCTTCTGTATCCAAGGGGGTCCGCAGCATCTGGCTTGCCTCTGGACAACGGCACTAATTGTCCTCATTTCCAGCTCAAAGGCTCTTTGCAATGCGCCACGACTTTGGTAGTCAATGCACAAAGCTGATGGCATAAAGGTCCCGCGCCAGCCTTGAGCACGTCTGGCGGGATCTGATTCAAACCAGGCACTTCCCCCCGCTTGAGGCGCGTCAAGGCTTTTGCAAAGTCTAAGGCGAGGGGAAAAGCATGGAAAAGCTCTTGGCGATGAATGTCCCGTGGCGGCCCTAAGCCGGGACGGTCAAGTCGCTGTAGCTCCTTCCAATGCATCTGCTGTCCAGCTTCAATTTCACTGAACTGTTTCATCCAATCCAATCAGATGTGGCCAGGCTGCCATCCTCTACGTAGGGCAGGCAGGGGCTTGACTGATGCCCCGGTTTTGATCTTTTTGGAGCCAAACCGTGCCAAGGTGTTGAAAACCGCCTTGTAATCGTGCAGCTCCCCTGCATCCTGTAAACGCACGAGGAGCTGGTCAAAGTAAATCTGAAGGTCAGCATAGACCTTGGTCTTGACTTCCTTCTCCATGCCGGAAGGTGGGGTCGCCCATGAGCTCCCAACGGCGTCCACAATCAAGGAGGTGCCTCTTGAATGCAATGGTGCGCAAAGTGTTCTCCGACAGCTGCGGTCGCGGCTTGGGAAAGGTAGTCTTCTCAAAGTGCTGCCTGGCCAATTAGAGGAGATTGGACTCGTAGATCTGACAGTGGTCATCCACGTTGACATCTTAAGTTGGATTGAGGATTTGAAGGATGTGCTACAGAAGGTGCTGGTCGCTGGGCTGCCTCCAACTTTCCAAGCCGAGACTCCAATGCTGACAGCTTTGACATCCGACCCTGCATCCCTTGAACAGTGCGCTGGGTGACTTCGGATTGGGTCAGCAATTGGTCCAACAGCTGATGGACCGAAGATCGTGCGCCAGCTTCGGTTTCTGCAGGGTCGTCGCCAACATCTCCTTCTTGAGCAGTGACGTAACCCTCAAGCCGATTCTTCTTTTTCGCCAGCAGAAAGAAACTGGTTCATGAGTTCTAGAAGGGAGCAAGCAGAAGGCATGTCTTCTACGCCACGGTACCGCCCAAACAAAGTGATCTCGTCCACGGCGAAGCCATCTGGAGGAGAAGTTGCCAGCAAATGGAAGCCCTGAGCATCCAGGTCGAAAATACTTCCAGAAATCGCTTGGACACTCAGTTTGAACCTGGGATGACTGGCTGAACCGCACCTTCCAAACAAGGCCCCAAAACTTCCGTGTACCCTCGGGTAGCTGCTGCTTCGAAGACTGACGTGTGTATGCCGCCTCGAGGAATGCAAACCAAAGCTCCAGTGTCCACTGCTCGAACAACCACAGCTACGCAAAATTGATCTTCAAAGTGAAAGTAAGCTTTGGCAGGCCCACCAGTCTCCTCTGCAGTGCTGAGGTCCGCAGGCAGAGACATCAATGAAAGGGCAAGCAAAGGAAGCAGCCAAAGGATCTGCCAAATGCTCTTCCAAGCTAGGCCGTCGAAATGGCACCGGGCAGCTTGTTGCCTAAGGTGATGAACCAAGGAAAGAAAGCGGACGGCCTTGCTGCGCAACTGATGGGCCAAAGCTAAACGCTTGGGGCCCAGGAAGCTCAGAAGTGACGAGTTCATCAAAGTTCTGTTTCCAAAGGCCAAACACCTACGGGTTCAAAGTCTGGTAGCATAGCTCAATCGGTTCAGCTGGATCAGTAAGGATATTGGTGGAAGGAAGATTGGGGGATCAACTGTCCAAAACAAAATCGCAAGCAATCAAGAAATCACCAACAACGTTGAATGCAGGGAGGGCCAAAATCGCGCACTACTGGCGGTAGCGCTGCAAACGATCCCCTCGAGGAAAATCAGGTACAGCCTCAGCCAGCGCGTAAGCCAATCCACGGAGCAGACAGCGCCTAAGTGAAGGGCTAAGGCTAAGAACCAAAGCGGTGCAAACAGAGCCGAAGATAGCCCCGCAGCACCAAGCCAGAAGCCCGAAGAGCACAGTGTCCGAAGTGCGACTAGGGCAGAACCAGGCTTGCAAGGCAAAGGGGGCTATGGCTAGGTGATCCCACATACAAAGATTGACCCTCTGAACAGCTTCGGTCAGCTTCATTCAAACTGCACTGAAAACTTAAAAGGATTCATTATATATAACATCATACAGATGCAGTGATTCAGATTCTTATTTTGACACTCGGTCAAAGGCCAACCATCTGGATCCAACTTGTCGACCCTCTTGGAAACCGCACCCCTTGCTCGTGCCCCTTGAAGTCATGGCTTTTTCGCAGTTTTCCCTGGGGATTCAAAGGGTACTTTGAATGAACCCAAATGCGGGAAACTGGAAACACGGTAGACATGTTAGACTGTGAATTGCAGACCGCCCAAAATCCCAGAACTCACTTGAACATTGTACGCGTTCCAAGCACTTATTGCCAAACATTTTAGAATCTTTGCGTCCATCTAGGAACAAAAACAAATACTATACACTGCATGCCTCATCCTGCTGATTCCGAAGAAGTCATGATCAAAACTCTTTCTCAAGCGCGCATCCTCACAGCAAACAAAGGCAGTTTGAGTAATCTTCAGAAGCACCCAGTGATATCTGGAGTTTGACAAATCACCTTCGGTCAACCCAAAAGTGCTTGTCAAAACATCGATGGTCAAAGGCCTGAGACTCCGCGCAATGTCCATGTTGATCACCATGTTGAAGCTCTGGGCCATGCACTGTCGACCAAAACCTGACACGAAACGGTCTCTGTTGGAAATCCAAAGCCTGCGCCAGAGAGGCAATCCTTTGCGTGAAATCTGCAGAACCCGCTTTTTGGTCCCAATAATTACTGTGGTCCCGCTTTTTGGCTCTTCCTGGCGCTGAACCCCTCACGGATTTCCCTGACTTTATGCGCCATTTTTACGGGCGGCCCATACCCTGTTTCTGGGCAAAAACATAGGAAAAACCATGGACAACGCTTAAAGTCATGGCGAGGTCAAGAATTCAAAATTATTCACTCTTGACCACTTTGGGACGAGGTTGTCCCCATCAAAGCCTGTGAACATGCTGGCCCTGCCTCTCCAGCTTTCGGAAGATGTCCAAAAAGCGCTGTCTGAAAAGTGGAGGTGCCAGGCGCCACACCTCAAGGTGCAAAACATGGATTTCAGGATGACAGGATGTTGATAAAATCACTGAGAATCTGTCCTGGCACAAAGGGGCTAAGATATCGAGGATCTAGAGGCAAAACTTAATTAAATGCACACAAGAGAGCTTGAGAATACAAACGATGTGGCTGGATCAGTATCTTTAAAGCATGGCTCTGGGCACTGAATCATTTGCAAAATCACTCACCAGAGCGATGGTTCTGAAACTGAGACAACGCATTGACAATTCATCATTTTTTGAACAGCAGTTGGAGCTGCAAACACAAAGGATTCAGTTCCCACCTTCAGGATTTCATGGACACTGATAATGCCTCTCAGGCTTGACATGGCTTCACGGCATCAACACATGTCAATGGTGCTTTGAACATGCAACACGTGGGATGAACGAGAGATTCAACTGTTGCAAGATGGACACTCCACTGCGTTCCAGCGGCAGCAGTATCCGTTGTGAATACAAGCTTACATGTTTCCGGGACTTGCCTTGCCAGCCATCTGTGGCCACGCACCACCGAATTGCAACCGGACCTTGGCTTCGGCAACGCTTCGTAACAACAGACCAGGTTAGCTGCGACGTTCCGAACGTTCTTTGAAGGAAAATGGAGCCATTTGTTTCTTTCAGTCCGCTTGGATTGGGGAGGGAGCTCCAGGTAAGGAACGGTCTTGACATTGGCCGATTTTGATGCAGGAGTTGTAGATTGCTCGGGGTAGGTCAGACATGCATGTTGTGCGTGCTCCAAAGTCACTACCTGACCACCACTCTTGTCTGGTATTCGTTTGGGTGCTGCCTCAGCCACACTCCGTTCCGGGCTTATATATCTTATATAGACTACATAAACACCTGGTTTTTGTTCCTTGTTGTGTACCCAACACTTCCATTTAGGAATCTTGTTCCTCCGCAGCCTTTCGGCTCAAGCTGTCTCTGCTCAAACCTTTTCTGGTCTTCGGTTGTGTCTTGAGGAAGAGTGCCGTTGTGTACGTATCCATTGGTTGACACCTTCTTTGTTTGCTTTGGGTAAGGGTAGTCAGTGACACGTAGATAGTTAACGACGCTGTGCTCTTGCTGGGGTACTGCTGCACTTTTGGCGTTTTTGCCATCCTTCTTCTTCTGGTTGCTCGGTTGGTCGAAGTGGCGGATTTTTGGAGCTTGGTTGTTATCGCAAACTGTCTTACGCGGGCTTGTTGATGTTTTATCTTGGCCGCTCTTTGACATGATATGTTTTTCGATTTGTCTCCAGGTCTTCCAGTTGCTTTGGAAGTCCTGACTATTCTGTTTTGTGTTTGGCTCGTTGTTTTGCAGTACTTACTCGCTGATTGAGTTCCCAAGCTTGCTGACCGGTTCTCTTTTGTTGTTGTGGTTTGTTTGGATTGTTTTGTTTTCTATTCAAGTGGCTGCAGCAAGTGGCTGCAAGGGGCTGCTGCAAGTGGCTGCAAGTGGCTGCAGCTGATTGCAGCCATCTGCGGCGACTCGTAGCCACTTGCCGCCACGTGCCATCTTGAAAAAAATGATTT